TATAAGAACACGATCCCCCTTTCCATCCATCCATCCATCCATCCACACGTGGACGCAGAGAGGCCAGCAGGCAGATGACACTAGAGCACATTGTGACCATCGCTTCTCACTGTGGTGTCTGTCTCTCTGTCCCTCTGTCTGTTGGTTTAGGTATAAGAGGGAGGAGAAATTTACCTCGGCGCACGTAAATGCGCAGAAAGGAAGGAGGAGAGAGAGAAGATATCTCCTGTTACGACCGCAATAATGTAAAGGCTACGTAAAGGACGTATTGGCTATTGTCTGCCGCTGCCAATTGCGCTGGAGCGGCAACTCGCAGCAGTCGGCGAGCAGTCGGCAGCGGCAAGAACGTCACCATGTACCGTAGTGAGCCATCTGGAGCCATGTACAGCAGCCACGCCCCGTCCCTTCACCGTCATCCTCATCCGACGGTCCCTTTCTGCTCCACGGCCCCCCTCCCCCTCCCCCTCCCCCCCAATGCCATCCCATCCAGCGGCGTGGCCTTTCCGCTGGCCGCGAGCGCCGCTTTCGCCCATCATGGCCAGCCTGCAATGACGGCAGCGGGCACCACAAGGCATCCGCGGCACCTGCCAACGCACAAAGGCCCCTCGCGCTCGTCCACAAACACCCTCTTGCCAAAGTCCCAGGAGGCCAGGCAAGGGAGAGGGAAGAAGAGGACGGGCCCCTACAAGGAGGAGCGGGAGGGCAAAAAGCTGAGGTCGCATCTTTTGCCTGTTGCCGTCGATTTGGAGGGGCCGCCTTTGCTGGGGCTGGATGACACAGGAGTGCGCATACAGGCAGACAGGCAGACAGACAGACATGCCTTACGTGTCTGACGCGTCGGATTGATTGAATGGATGGTTGGATTGATCTCTCAGATGGACATGAGTACTTCCTTTGGCGTCGAGGATCTGCAGGTGGACAAGATAGAGAGAGAGAGAGAGAGAGAAACCAAACACATACCATTGTCAATGGATCGGTGGTTTTTTCTCTCCGACTCATCAGGATGGCGTGCCGTTCTTCCCACCTGCTATCCCGTCCCACCACCAGCCGATGGTGGCCTCGCCGTCTGATGCGGCCATGACACACACGCGGAAGCCCTCTCATCCCTCCCCTCCCTCCCAAAACACTCCCCGCCCCTGCATCTGAGACCAAGGCGTCAGGTCATCGGCTGACAGGCGCGACCGGCAGCCCACATGCGGACGGCCCCGTCGCAGAGGTCCTGGAGACCTATGAGCCGTGCAGGCGCCACAGACCAAGGGAGAAGGACACGGCACGCCGATCGCAGCGGCCCTGCGCATCACATGCGGCGCACTCTCCCCTCTTCGCCTCGCCCTCGGTCGCGGCGCGTCGCGAGATCCCCTACCGGCAGACTCCTGCCGACGGCCGTCTGCTTGGGCATCGCTCTCCTATGGACGCCGACGTCGCACCCGATGTGCCCGATGCGGTGCTCCTCCCATCTGCATCCTCCCAGCTGGGATTCGAGCAGCGCGACGTGCCCATAGCGACCGTCGCACCCCCACCCGCCCCGGTAGATGGCCAGGCGGACGTGCTGCTGCAGGTGGCCGAGCCTGCCATCGCTGTTGGTGGGGAGGAGCTCGGTGGGGGTGGTGGTGCGGGGGAGGGAGAGGGAGAGGGAGAAGAGGCCATGGGGTGCGAGGCGGTGGCCAACGCCTCCTCCGGCGCGGCCCCCGCTGCTGCTGCCGCGCCTCTGCCCATCCAGCCACCGAGCAACATCGGCAACGGTACCCCTGCTCCCACGTTCGGCCCGATTTCCTTCGGTGATTTGTTTTGGAGGTCTGCACCGCCAGGCATTCGTTGCCGCATCCCCGGCGTGAAGGTGCGCAGATGCCCACCCACATACACACACACGAAGATCCACATGAGAGAGACTATCCATCCATCCATCCATTTGTGTGTCCATTCTTCCTTCCATGTACGTGTTTCTTCAGGACACGGGTAGCTACCTCCGCCTGCCCTGGGCGGCGTGGGTCTTGCCTTCCCTCCCATCACCATCAACCCCCCTGCAGCCAGCCAGACGGCTCGGGTGCCCCCACAGCAGCTGGAGGCCATGGCCACCGCGGCCACCGCAACCCTACCGTCAGCCCACGACAAGACGCGCTTCGACGCCATGATGGCCCTCAGATACCCACCCAAAGCAAAGCCGTCAGCACCGGCACCCACCATCAGCGGCGGGGTTGCGTCTGTGGGCCTCGGGGGTGCGGGCGAGGCTCTGGGTGGAGGTGGTGACGAGATGGGCCGGGGCGAGCGTCAGGGTGGTGGCGCCGAGCGAGAGGGGGAGGGCATGGGCATGGGTGTGGGAGGTGAGGATCCCCATGCGGCGCGTGAGTCGATGGCGGTGGCCTCTCCACCTTCTGGCCAGCGTCACGGCCCTCAGAAGGGAAGCGACCTCACGGAGGGAGCATCGCAGTCGGAGAGTTAGAGCCGCGGTGGACTGAGGGGCAAGGGGGGACGGGAGGGAGAAGCGAGTCCTGTAGATGATGTGCCCTTGGAGAGTGTTGTTGAAGTTGCCGACGTGAGTGAGGATCGCAGCCCCTTTGCAGCTGTCAGCCCCCCGTTGCCCCGCCCGCGCACACCCCTCAAAAACCGCCTCAGGTCGTCAGCACAGCGGAATGGCGGCCTCACCGCAGCGAGGGGTCACGGGGGCGAGGATGGCCCGGCGGCGGCAGAGGAGAGAGGGGAGAGCAAAGGCCAACAGAGGTGCGCTTCATAGAGACACGTCTAGTAGGTGGCTGGGTGGGTAGCATTCATTCATCCAAATCGAGCACATCTCATGTCGCTGTCTGTGTGCCTCTATCTTGCACGGCATGTCAGGATGGTGACGCGTACAGTAAGATAGCAGATGAGGTCGACCGCCATCGGCTGCTGCGCCGTGACGACCTCCCCAGATATCATCAAATGCTCAATAGGCTAGAGGTGGGGAGGAGGCCAGCAGAGAGAGAGGGAGGATGGGTAAACGAAGCTTGCCGTTTGTTCATTGGTCGTCATGCAGGAGTGCAAGACGTATGTAGCTCAGTCTTTGGTGGCACCGCCGGGCCAGAGAGGCCTCTTCACCTCCATCGCTCGCCGGCGAGGCGAAACCGTGACCCACACGCTGGGATTCCGCTTCCCAGCCGAAGTCGATGACGAGGCTGCCATGAACAAGGTGCGGTGGGCTGGACTATACGAGTCAAGTGTCCCCATGAGTCCTCATTCATATCATGGCTCGTCCTGCTTATCCGCTCAGGTTCGTGAGCTAATGCCATATGCCTTAGCTAAGGGCTACATGTTCTACCCACTCGTGCTTATCAAGGCCAAGGTAGGCTGAGTGGATGGGTGGGTGGGTGGGTGGTGATATGTGTGTTCATTTTACATGCATTGTCCGTGTATACAGGAGCTCGTGCTCGCCTGCCCCGAGCTGGACCCCTCGTGGCTCATCAACGTCGCCCACCCCTCCCCGCCAGCCAACGCCAACGTACGTCGCTGCCACACAGAAACATCCCAATATGCCACATCATCCAAACTTCACTGGTGGTTGTTTCTTTGTTTGCTTGTTTGTTTGTGTGTTTCTTTGTTGTGCAGGTGAAGTGGATTGAGGTGAGGTGCAAGGGGCCTGCCCCAGACCTGGTTGAGACAACAGCAGCAGTGGCAAGAGGAGGAGCGGCAGCAGCAGCGGCAGGGAGAGGGGGGAAGGCCAGCAGCACCACATGGAGGTGGCCATCATTGCCACCCGTGACATCAAGGCTGGTGAGGAGCTGCTCATTGCCACATATGACCCCGACAAGGACGAGGTCGAGACGACAGCCCGCGGGTATGAGCTGTAGGCCAGTGCAGCGCAGATGAGCTGCAGTGAGTGGATAGGATATCGATGGACTATGAGAGAGTAAGGCCTCGTCAGACCCGTAGGTGAGTCCACCGTTGGTCGTGTCTATTTGTGACAACGTGTAAAACATGTTCGTGTGTGCGTGTGCGTGGAGAGTACGTGTTGTACAGACATGTTGAGCAAAGTGCCTTCGTGTATCTGTAAAGGCCCTTTGCGTGAGCTGCCTCACCCACAGACACCCACACTGCACACAGAATTCGTTATCTTTTGAAACTGACTGACTTTTGAATGCTATTGAACTCATTGTTCCATGACCATAAACGTCTATCATTGAGGCAACCAGCAAATGCAATGCACTATTCATCCTCTTCGTCGTCTTCGTCCTCAGGAAAATCGTCGACACCATGGCCATCTGACTGTGTGCCATCAACACTCCACTGGCGACGTGAGCTTGAATACAGCCAATATGACCAGCACCTCATGAATGGCGTGGCGTCAGGTGTCGGGCAGCCCAGAGAAGCGGCCTGATGATGAAGTGCAGGGACGAAAGGCCCGACGACGCGTTGCAAACCCAAGCCCGGGTGCGATGCCCTCCCACACTGAGCCGACCGTCGCCTTGCGCAGCTTGGGGAACGCAGTGGGGCTCTCCTTGCTCGGCACCTCTGCGGTGTTCTGCCCTCTCCGCTGCCGTGTGCCTTGGAGCTCGACGGTCTCGATGGTGGCCGCCAGCTGCTCAAGCAAAGTGACGAGCCGAGGGGTGGGGCGGTGATGCACATGCAAGGAGCGACACTGAGACACACGACCTGCAAATATGAAACACGCACTCGAGAATGGACACGAGAGAGAGAGAGAGAGAGAGAGGGAGAGAGATGTGTGCTATCTCTCACTGGGCAGTTTGGCTGCGGTGCGTTTGGTGGGACTGGCATAGATGTCGACGATGGGGTGGGCAGCGGGCTGGCGGCTGAGGTGGCTGAAATGTGCGTTGATGGTGGAGAGGGATGTCATGAAGGTGTGGTAGCCCAGGTAGGCACCCAAACCAAAGCCCTCCTCGGTCGTCATCCACAGCGCCTCAGGCAACTCATCCAAACCAGACCTCACCTTACAAACACATACACCACAGAACGCACAGAGAAATGATAAACCCACCCACCCTCGACGGAGCTTTTTGTGTGTATGCGGGTGTGTGGTGCCCACCTCATCTTGGTTGAGTTTGTCCATGGTGTTTAGGATGACGTCGAGCTTCTTGACACATGCTTCCACCTGCTGCTTGGCCGTCTTGTCCACGGTGGAGATCTTGATGTCCGCCTCGCACCTCACCATGGCCGTCAGCACACGGTAGTGGCGGTCAACCTCCTGAACAGCAAAAGGAGAGGCGGGATGTCTATGGAACAAAGGTACCTGTGTTGTGTGTGGCGGCTAACCTGCATGTGTTTCTGTTCGGCGAATGTGTCGGGGGCGGGGAGGGCAGCCTTCGCATCCAACATCTGCTGCGCTTGTGCGGAACAAACACGACACGCACCAACCCTCGCCCTCTCGCCTCGCCCCTCTGCTCCCTCATTGACTCACCTTAGCCTTTGCGTCGTTGACCATGTTGATCTGTGCCTGAAGTTGCCCCGCCACCTCGGCCAGAGCCGCCAACCAAGCCGCCAACGCTTCCTCATGACCTCACGAAACACGGCAGACACATCTTCTCGCCCATCCGCTCGTTGTGTTTGGATCTGTGCCGACATCTCGACGTCGTCAGGCGTAGTGGCTTGGTGTTGGCCTTCTTGACGTCCTTTGTTCTTGCCCTTCTTCTCGACCGCCACCTTTGCCGCGCGAGCTGTCGAGAACAAGTAGCGCTTGCGACCATATCGCCAGCAGCGATGGCGTCAGAGGGTTTTGAGCATCGCATGACGAAACGCCAGGCCGCCATTGCAGCTGCTGAGGCTGCGGCAGGTGTGGGTCGGAAGCGCAAGCCGTCAATGGATGTGGACGTGAGCAGTGGTGGCGGTGAGGAGGATGGGTCAGAGTGGGAGGAGAGGGGCCGCCGCACCACCAAGGCTGCCAAGAAGGGGCAGCGGGTGGATAAGAAGGACAAGGCGGACAAGGCGGCTGCCGAGGCCAAACCCAAGAAGAAGGGCGGCAGATCCAAGGCTCAAGCGACAGAGGAGGGCCATCAGATGGAGGTACAAATGGATGAGGGAAGCAAAGGGGTGCACCCATGGATGGATCAGTCATTTTTCGTCGGTTCTGTCCTTTACGTGTGTGTGTGTGGTGGCTGGACATTGATGCGTTGGATCCGAAGGCTGAGGAGGTATGCGACCAGGCACAAGGAGAGGGGAGGGAAACAGCATCACTTCATGGGCTGGCTGTTGTGTGACTGATTGAATGTCAGGTCAAGTCTCCTCTGGAGGAGCTGCCTGAGGTTCTGTGGATGGGTGGTGGTGCGGGTTTGGGGGCCTTGGTCGGGTTCGTGTCGTGCATGGAGTCGCTGTCGAGCGTCAACGGCCACTTCCGCTCCCTCACCCAGCAGCCCGGCATGCACCCCATACTCGACCTCGACGCATCACCCACCATGGACATCGCTGAGAAGTGGATAGGTGAGCAGGGAAGGAGAGAGGGGAGCGGATGGGTACCTTTGTCATATTCATTTGGGTGTGGTGTCTTGATGCAGGTCGTCGTTTGTCTGAGTGTGTGAGCATCAGCGTCTACCATCGCCCCACGCCGTCGTTGGTGTATCTGCTGGAGAGCCTCTCGGCCAAGGTTGAGAGTGTGGACCTGCAGTGCCCCTACGAGCCGCCAACCGACAAAAAGGGCAACGACCTTCCCTTCGAGCGCGACACGCGCAACAGGAAGGGCAACTTGAGCCGCATCAGCCTGCCACACAAGAACGTGAGCAGGGGAGGCGAGGGGAGGACACGACAAGGACCGACTGATAATACACGCGCTGTGTATCCCGTGCATCAATCAATCAGGGGCCGATCGTGTTTGAGCGTTTGGAGTCGGCGTCCATCCGCAGCGTGTGGGTCAAGATCGCAGAGGACCGCGAGTACCAGCTGCCGGTCCTTAAGGACCTCGGCCTGGTCAACCTCGACACGCGTGGCCCTCGCCAGTGGATCCGAGACAGCGGCATCAAGTCGCTGCACCTCATATCTGACGAGGTGGGGGAGGGAGGGAAGGAGGGAGGGAGGATGCATTCATGAGGTCACATATCCATGCCCTGTGCTTATTGCAGGAGGATATCGGCCGCTCGCATGAGGTGCGGCTCGACCAAGTGGCGAATTTCCTCAAAGACACACCCTCAGGTATATAAGCAAGCAGAGGACCGACGCCTGAGGGCCCGCCAGCCATCCCCAGCTCTCTGTGTTTCTGTGTGCGTGTGATGGATGCAGCCCAGAGCCTGACGTCGTTGACTGGTCGCGTGTCGTTCCAGCAGCAGAGCCAGTCCCTGTACTACGGCAAGGTGCCTGATGACGCGTTCATCGACCACATCGCGACGGACATCGGCCCGCTGGATGAGATCGAGATGGGACTCGCCGAAGTGCAGACATCGCAATACATCCAGGTGGGTGGGTGGGCGGCTGTTGGACACGCTGATGGAAAAACTTACTCAACACTGACTCGTGTCTGCATGTATCTTTCCATTCAGAAGCTGCATCGTTTCCGGTCCAAGCTCCTGAGTGCTGACTCGGCGAGCGAGACGTACTTCCACCTGCCCCTCGCTCGCCGCCACGCCCCTTGCAGGTACAACCGACTCCGCGATGCCAACAAGACCTCCACGGACCTCCACCTCCACCTGCCCTTCACCGGCGATGGGGAGGCCCTCGCCGACTGCCTCGCCACAGTGGAGCTGTGCTGCCGAAAGGCTGACAAGGTCACCCTCGACGCATGCAGAAGATCAGACCACGTCAAGAAGATCCCCGGCCTAGACTCACTCGTCTGCGAGGCGGCGACCGAGCTGACCACCATGGCAGGGGGCGGCAAGAAGACGCTCCCGTCCTACATCACGAGCAATCCGGCGGCCGTGTTCCCACGCGTCTCGTCGGTGGTCGTGTCGCACAAGGAGGAGGAGGGGTGGGGCGAGGACTTCTATGAGTGTGGGGCGGGTGACGTGTTGCATGCCCTCTCTCCCTTTCTGAGTAAGGTATGTTTCGAGTTTCCCGATCTATATGATAAGCCTAGGGCTACGTGCACACTGGTGCCTGATGGCCTAGGGTTCATGTCGAGCGAAGGCAAGGAGGTAGAGGTGCAGGTGAAACTTGACGTTGACTGCTGCTCTTACGTCAAGTTCAGCTGCAGCGAGGCAGGTCGGGAGTTCATGGAGAGCGGCCGTGTGTCGTGTATCGATGTGCACATCGCCGGGCAGGCACACGTAAACGAAACGCGCGAAATGCACGGTACCTTCGTTGAGTGTGTGGTCAAGGCCTTTTCCAACTTCCCTGCCCTCAAGTGTGTTGTGCTGCGTGTGGACAAGCCGCCCCTTTTCGGGCCCGCGTTTGACCTGGCTGGCGAGCTGAGGAAGGCAGGCAAGAAGAGAGTGCGCGTGACAGAGAGGACAGATGGCACTGTGGTGCTGCGGCCAAGCCAGACCAGAAGGAAGGTCAAGAGAGAGACAGAGAATGCCGTCAAGAGAGAAAAGGATGTTGTCGTCAAACAAGAGGAGGAGGAATGAGCACACACGCGCACACAGACACACACAGTGGAGAGAGAGAGAGGGAGGCCGTGTCCAGTTCTGGTGCGCCTTTCGTGTGCTGACACGCATACATTGCAATCAGAGCCAGACAGGCGCCTCTACCAACACATCCACCGCTTGATGTGAAGAGAGTGTTTGACAGCCCTACCCCTTCATGTTCGTGTGGCTGTCTGCCATCGATCGCATGTCACGTGTACATCTTCGTGTGCATGGCTCATGGGTGAGACCCCCCTGTTTGCATGAATGCATGGCCTTTCTCCCGCCGCTGCCGCTGCCGCCACTCATCGATCTGGGTGTGTCTTGTGCGCCTTCAATGAATGGGAAAAAGCGTCACGTCAACCAACAAACGATATACGTATACGTATACGTATACCTCGATCTCCACATACACATTGCACACACATATATGCGCATTGCATTGATCGGCCCAAATCAAATCAAACACACAATTACCCGGTCGCCACACCATGTTTCGCCTTCTGTCTGCCGTCGCCCTGCTCGTGCTGCTGTGTGCCACACATGCACACGCAAACAGAGACAGCGCACTCAAGCAGCGAAACGCGCGGCTGAGAACAGAGCTCGACAAGTTCCTCGCTCACGGTCTGATAACACGAGACACAGCACAGCAAGAGACACGCAGAATGGGAATCACTCACTCTCTCTGTTTGTGTGTCTGTCTATGTGTGTGTGTGACAGAGATGGACGGTCAGCAGCAGGACACCTCACTGAGTCTCGTGAGGGCAATGAGCGAACGGGAGCTGCCTGAGGTGAGGGGGGACACGCTCAGCAGCAGTCATGGCTGAAATACTGAAGCAAACACCCATGGATGGGATGCACTCTGTTTGTCTTTGTCAGGACTACTCTGACCGATTTGCGGCCGTGGATCACATCATCAAGACCGACAGCGAAGACAGACAGCTGCTGCTGGAAGAACGGCTCGCTGCCGAGAGACGGAGGTGACGCTCCCACAGAAAGAGTACAGACAGACACAAAGGAAAGGCGTGTGTGTTTGTTTGGCGCAGACTGCGAAATGACATGCGCTTTGGCTGGTCTGTCGTGCTGCTGTGCCTCGCCGTCCTAATCGCGGTTGTGGCATGCGACTGGTTGATTGATCGCAAAAAGCAGAATGGTCAGTTGGCCAGAATACACAGAGATAGATACCGATACCTCAGCTTATTTGTGTGTGTTGTGGCAGCGTCTCAGTGGCAGCGCAAAGAAGACACCATCTGCCTCTGATCTATCGGCAAAGAGAGAGAGCGAGAGACACACAGACCGACATTGATCGACACGATGCTCCACAAATAAACACCGAGTGATGGATAAAGTCACACGCCCCATGCACCATACAGCTCACCACACCCACATCTAGCCACTGACTAGCACACGCTACACACACGAACGCGCTCATGTCGATAAAGGAACTCACACCAACACTCAGCTACACATGGACGGATGGGCATTCATCATCACATCACCATCACTTATTCACTCAGATATCCATCTGCTACAGGGGATGGCGATGATGAACACAACTCAATCGGTGGGGGCGACGCTTCCTCTGTCGGTGGTATCAGAGGCCTCTGCAGTACACACACACACACACACACATTCGCTACATGTCTCTCTGTCTCCCTGTCTGCCTGTGTGTTGAATGCGTGACCATGCGCGGCGTGTACTGCACATTCACACAGACACAGACACACACACAGACACACAGGGCATAAGAATGCTCGCAGGCCATGCATGTCTGTGCGATGCACACGCAGATACATACATACCATGTTGGCGATTGGGAAGCATGGTTTGCTGGTCAGCTCCATCCCCATTGCTCGCTGCTTGACACGACACGCATCCAAATACCTGACACATCAGACACACATAACCACAAAGCCATCAACACGTGGTTGCGAAGAGAAACATACACCCTCGCACACAGGGACCCACCTGTCGGCCACATGACCCCGAATGACAAATAGAGGGTCGGGCGCTGGCCCTGAATGCACTCATCCAGACAGGCAGGCAGGCAGCACATGTGCGTGTGATGCGTATGTGTGTGTCTACGCATCACTTCCGTCACGCACCTGCTGGGTGCTTCGGCGGCCGACAGCCATTAATATTCTGGGCGCGATAAGACTGACGAAACGAACCAACACACCAACTCGACATGTGTGAATCCATTGGACATGTACGTGTGAGCGTTACTTACCTGCCTCTCGCTCTTCCTTCGCGGCTGCATCTTCTTGACCCGTGGCTGAAGGGGCACAGCAGCAGGCGAAGACGGGGAAGCAGCCAAGGGCGGAAGAGCTGCATATTGCAACAGACACAGACATGTGACGACGACACCGACAATATGTGTCCATTAGCGTGTCTTCTTCAATTTCTTCTTCTCGCTGACTGACCGGACTGCACAGTGACGCTCGACAGAGGCGACTCGTATCCATCGTGCTCGGCCGGCGGGAGAGCCAGGCAGCTGTCACTCGTGTCGATAGCAATGGCGGGGATCTTGAACGAGCTCCTGGCTGCGTCGGACGACCCAGCATCGCCACAGGGCCTCTCTCGTGTTCGTTCCCCGCCAGCAGGAGAGGGGAACAGGCGATGTGGTTCTTGCCTTGCTGGACAGACGGACGGCATCTGGAGAGCGGCGCCTTCGCTGCACACCGAGATGAAGTCGTCGATGTCCCAGTATCCATCGCCTTCATCGCCTTCATCACCCGAAAGACTCCTATACGACAGACACGAGACGAAAGACCTGCCGGACATACAAACACACCTCTGGATGAGTCTGGTCCTGTCTGTGCCACTCACAGATCTCTGAAAAGATCTCTTTCAGGCGCATCATGGATCACTGTTGGCGGATCGTGGTCAGCGGAACGCCCCGTATCTCGAGTGGAGGCGCTGTCGAGGTCCGCCTCATGTGCCGCAGGGCCAAGCGGCAGAGATGCATCGTCCGACGGCAGGAGAGATGAGATCAGCGAAGAAAAGGGCGAATGCCACCACGTATTCGTGCCATGCTCCGTCATTCGGCTTAAAAAAGAAACGATTGCAAAAGCAGCCAAGCTCGCAGTGGAAGGCCTAGGGTGCTCCATGAAACCACTGCTGCCGAAGGGAGAAAGGGGAAAGGAGGGAGTCTCATCTTCCTCACGCGCATTGTCGGCTGTTGAATTCTGCGGGTGACCTGTCGCTATGGATCTGCAGAAGCCCTTCTTCGGCCTCACAAGTCAGCATTGCGTGGACACGGTGCTGTCAGGGCAGCTGGACACCGACTGCACCAAGCAGTTCGTCGCCAACTGCCTCAGCCTCGGCGTCATCGCCGGTGCCACGATTGTCAAGGTGCCGCAGATCCTGCGGATCCTCAAGAGCCAGTCTGTGCATGGGGTGTCGGAGGCGGCCTTTATCATCGAGCTGCTGGCCAACGCCATCTACTGCTGCTACAACGTGCTCGAGGGCTATCCCATCAGCAACTGGGGCGAGTCGGCCTTCGTCACCATCCAGTGCATCCTGCTCGTGCTGCTCTACTGGTCCTTCCAGCCCGGCCACCACCTCATTCGCGGCTCCCTGACCTGTGTCCTCGCCGCCTTCTTCACGTTTGTGCTCCAGGGGCCGTTTCCCCACTCAGCTTTGCCGATACTGGGGTTCGCCCCGACACCCATCTCAGTGGCGTCGCGGCTGCCGCAGATCGTCCGGAACCTGCGGCAGGGGCACACAGGGGAGCTGTCTTTGCTGACGATGGGCATGCAGGCGGCCGGCAATGCGGCAAGAGTGTTCACGACGGTGACGCAGATCGACGACTGGGTTGTGCTGACGGGCCACGTGACGGCGCTATGCCTCAATGGGACGCTGCTGCTGCAGATCGTCGTGTATTGGAAGGCCACACATCACGTCAATCGGGAGGTGGCCGAGGCGAGAGCCAATAAGAAGGGACAGTGAGTGAGAGAGGGGAGAGGGGGGCGGGATTTGTTTGCGGGGTGTCTCTCACCGTGTCTGTGTGTCTAGAGCAGCATGTAGTAATTAGAGCGGTCGCTTGTCGTGTGTGGTTGAGTGCTGACGGTGGTTGTGTACATGTATCTGTGGACACATTAGACACATTGGACGCATTTTGCCTTTTTCTCGACAAGCCGTCCCCTCTGCGTTTTTGTTGTGTTCCCTGGGTGACACAATGCACTGATGGCCCGTCTTTCACTCCGTGCATTCATCAAAACTGTCAGTCACGCAGGCAGCCAGCCACACGAAACACGTTGCCCTTCTCCGGCCCGTCTCCTTTCCCACATCACACCTTCACTCGATGCCCAGGGCCACAAATAGTCGTGTGGTCTTGTCGACGTAACCCAGCTGCTGCCATTCGAACCCGCAGTCGTCATTGCCGAGGTGCTCGTTGAAGCCCTTGACCAGACTGGCCTTCTGTCATGACCGATTCATGCCAAACTTGTTCAACGTCGCTGATGACATGAGGTGTGCGCGATGAGTGGCGGGTGGGTGACGGCGAGCACTTCATGTGTTATCATGGTGCGTGAACGGACGCCTCAATGCTATGCTGCGTTTGGTGTGTCACAAAATGACGACAGCCTGCATGGCATGCAGCCACTGCGGTTCACTGTGGTTGTTGAGTTCACACCAATCCAGCCATCCATCCATCCATCATGCGTCACATCAGTTTAAACAGCACCACGTTCTGGCAGACAGAGACAGAGAGAGACAGGCAGCCACACTTTCAGACAAACAGTCTACAATGGTCTGAGAGAGAACCGTGGGCCTTGTTGTGTTGTGTTGTGTCGTGTCGTGTTGCCCTGGCTGGCTCGCTACCATACCACATACACACACGCATTCATTGCATTGGGCTCGCGGTGAGTGAGGTGAATAAGAGAGGACAAACCGGCCACCGAACCGAACATCCATTCGACCAACCAACCAACCAACCAGCACGTGTGTGTGGGTGGATAGGGAGAGAGTGGCGGACAGAGAGATTTGTGTACGCTCAACGAAAATCGGACAGGCAGACAGGCGGGCAGGCAGGCGAACAGAAGCACTAGGAGAGCGAGACAGAGTAGAGGTGGAGATGGCTGCCTCTCTGCCAGTTGGTGCGATGCATCACGCGGCCGAAGGCAAGGGGGTGCAGCAGACCATCGACGTGGCCGACTTCACCCCCTTCCAGACGGCACTCGAATGCATTGCTCCGGCCAGCAGGCTCGGCAATCCCATCATGTTAAGTCATGTTACAAATATTCATATGCAGGCAGGTTTGTGTGTGGTGTGCTCATTTCGTTCGCCCCCAGGGACAGACTCATTGATTAAACACTCCTCCCCCCCTCCCCCCCCTCCACACACACACACACATAAGCAGTGTCGCTCACTCATTCGTCCCCTGTCTGTGTGTCAGTCCGTGTCCGCCTGCTTCCCCCACCCCTCAATCTCTACCGTCGCCCACTGCTGCACGGTGCACGCAAGAGTCAGCACGCAGGCAGGCAGGCAGGGATGCACACGAACACCCAGAAAGTGGGGCAAGCCATTGGATTACACAGGCAGGCAGGCATGCAGCCGGCAGAATGCCCCTTAAAATGAGGCCAACAGCGGCAATAAGACATGGTCCGTCCATGTGTGGTGTGCGTGTGTGTGCAAGAAACCCAGTGAGAGCGTGACGGTACCTACCGTACCCACTAGCCACCCATCTCACTGCTCTGCTCGTTCGAGTCCCAAAAATCGATCCCTCGTGCGTGTGAGAGGTGCGGCGCGTGTCGAGTCCCTCGATGGAGAGAGCATGGCCGGTTCATCCATCCATCCGTCCATCCATCCATGCATCCATCCCGTCTCACAGAGCAAAAAGGTGAGTGAGTCGGGGTGAGTCTGGTGAGTACAAAAGGCATGCAGATACACGACTGCTCGCTTGGTTGAAGAGAGAAGAGAGAAAACACTGCCAGGTACACTCACTGCTGATGTTTTGTGTCCCGCGCTGTGCTGTGTCCCCTGCTGCTGCCTCCTTTCGCCGACAGCCGGGCCACGCAGCAACGGACGGCTGCGTTGCCGTCTCGTCTCTCAGTGACCGTCGGCGACAAATGCCGCAAAAACATTAACACGCCGGAGATAGCAGAAAGGAAAACAAACCGTCTCTCTCTCTTGACTGGACCATTCGTATACGCCATGCAAGTGGACTGCTCCCGCCAACCCACTCCACACCACACCGCAGCATAGCATCCGCCCCGACCCGCCCCCCACCCCGTCAACACAGCACACACCACACAATTCAGCCAGCAGGGATGGATGGATGGGATCAGGGCGACCGACAGAGACAAAAAAGGAGACCACTGACTGCACTGCCACACCACACAATGCCCTGCCCGGCCCTTCGTGTGCGTACGCAGGTAGACACCAGGAGCTACCCAGCCACCCACAGGCATCCCCACACACCACCAGCACACGCAGCCAGCCAGCCAAGGGAGTGAGCACCCAGCCACACGCCCACATGCATTCCGTTACACACTAGCATATCTCTCTAGCTTGTTTAGGGTTGATGTCTTTCTATGTGGGCACAAAGGAGACGCATCGGACGTCTTCGGGCCCCGACCTGATGCCGGCCAGCATGAAGCCGGCCCCAAACAGCACCGCCATGAGCGGCTCACGCCGGTTGCTCCACTTGTCCACCAGCGAGCCGGCAAACTCCAGGCGCCGCAGCTGCCGCATTGACGGCAGGGCCAGCACCTCGGGCAGCAGCCGCAGGGCCGAGTCGAAGACGTACGGCTCGTAGGTGTTGATGCGGAAGGTCTGGACGACCGGCAGGCCGCCTCCCTCGCCGTCTTCTGATGACTTGGAGGCCTGCACGAGGGCGTCGCAGAGCTTCCCGAGGTCCTTCTCGCTCGTCACCAGGCTCAGCACCTTCAACTTGGGCTGACGGAACGACGTCAAAATCGTCACCTGATCAATCCGCCAAGTCGCACACAGACCGACAGACAGCCGAATGGGCGTGTGTGTGAGAGTGATGGATTCTCTCTCTCTCTCTTGTTGTGTTGTGTGTACGGACCTGCAGGTCAGGTGGCGGGAATCGTCCGAACGACAGCTCCTCCAGGTTCCACAGCCCCATGAGCAGCTTGTGCAGCCCGTCGCAGTCCCACGAGCTACTCGACGGCGACGCGCGGCCCTCATCCATGGCCGTCAGCGAGTCACCACTCCCCTGTCCACTGACCGACCGGTCAGAGGCAGATGTGACCCCGCCGCCTCCCCCTCCCCCTCCCCCGCCCCCCTGTGGCCGCGTCTGGCCGTTGCTGTTGTCCCAGACGCCCTGGATGGTGAGTTTCTTGAGTGTGGGGTAGAAGGCCTCGGCGATGGATGGGGCGAGGATGTAGGAGCCCTGGTGGGTCATGGGGAACTCCACCGTCATCGACACCAGCTGCGTGAACACCACACGACCCTCAGGGCGACCGTCAACCAAACGCTCGGTGCCCTGATGTGATCACACCCCCCCACACACGTCAAGTATGCGACCATCCGTGTGGGCGATCTTCTGACAGACATCCATACAAACAAAGGTACCTGCGGTGTGGCGATGACGCGCACTTCGCTGGCGTGTTTGGCGAAGAGGGGCATCTTCTCGATGACGAAACGCAGCTGTCGAGTCGTAGACATGGGCGGCGGGCGGTTGGCAGCGTTGGCCGTCGCCACGGTCGTGGCCGGGGGCTGGTTGATGGGCGGCGCCGGGAGGATGGGGGGCGGGTTGGCAGCCACACCCGGAACAGGGGGACCAGGATTCTGCGCACACGCACACAAAATGACAGACAGCCCATGATCGGATCGATGATGCATGCCTCTCATTATTCATTTCGTTCCACCCACATCCATCCATCCAGCCACTGATTCACCCACCCACCCACCCACCCACCTGTGTGTTGAGGAATGGCGGCGGTGGGTTGGTGTTGAGCAGCAGGAAGTGGCCCGGCACAGGCACGGGGCCCGGGTAGATGGCTGTGTGCGTGGCCGACGCAGGGACCTGCGGTGCCGCGACAGCAGCTGCCGCTGCTGCAGCTGCGCTACTGGTGGTTGTGGCGGCCCCCTGACTGGCACTGGCACTCGCACTCGCAGCGGCCGCCTGCCCCTGGGTGGCACCTCCCGCGGTCTGCTGTGGCGGGGGTGGGGGTGGCATGGCTGGTCTGGCGTTCCTGGGGCTGCGATCGTCGATGTCCATGGCGTCGAACCAGTCGTCATCCTCGTCCTCCATGCGCGCCATGAATCGCCGCATCCCCAAACGCTCGCGATCCTCCCTCTCCCTGTCCCTGTCTCGGTCTCGGTCTCTGTCGCGGTCGCGCCGGTATCGGCCCATGAAGAAGTCCTCGTCATCGTCAAAAAAGTCGTCATCCTCATCGCGACGGACGCGACGCGCCCCCACGATGCCCCCAGACCTGCGACGGGCGGCCGGGCTGGGCCGCGCCACCTCACCCGCACCCGCCCCTCTGTTGCTGCCATTGTTGTTGCTGTTGCTGTTGCTGTTGCTGCTGTCGCCCTCCTCGCTCTTAGTGACGGACATGCTGCTGGGTGCCGCGGCGGCCGCTGCTGCTGCCGAGGTGGTACCACTCCCACTGGCGCTTCCACTGGCCATGACCGTGTCGGTCGACGGCGCCGCCATGTCTACATCGTCGGCGCGGTCCTCTGTCGGGAGCCGGGGAGGGGACATCATCAGATCGCCCGCTCGGAGGGGCCGCGCCACCTCGTCGCCCCCCTGGGTAGACATGGGCAGCAGGCCGGAGAAACGCGAACCGAACCGACCACTCACACGGGAAGCTCTAGGGGGCGAGTCCGCTGGCGCCATGACGGCGTCCGATGACACACCGGCCGCAGAGCTGGTGATGGCGCCCGCAACGGCCGGTCCTGCCCCTGCGTTGCTGGCAGCGGGTGGTGGGGGTGGTGGAGGGGCAGGGGGAGGGGGGTTGCTACGCGGGGCTGCAGATGGGAAGAGGGCGTCGAAGAGGGACCCACGCCCCTGCCCCGACCCACTAGTCGCCGCCGACGATGTCACTGGCGCCACTCCTGCCTGTGCCACACCACTCACGGCCACCTGGCCCCCCTGAGCAGCAGACGATCCGCCTCCCACCGGGCGACTGACCAGCGGTGCAGCAGCCGGTGCTGCTGCTGCTGCTGCGGCCGCGGCCGCGGCCGCCCCAGTGGTGTTGGCACCACTGCCGGCCGTGTAGTTGGCGGTTCGGCGGGCGAACCTGGGAATGAAGTCTTCCTCCATGTCGTCCATGTCTCGGTTGCCCCTGTCCCTCTCCGTCCGCGGCTCGTCGCGGTCCCTGTCCACACGGCTGGCACCCACCATCACCCAGGGCGGGTCATCAGCGCCACGCAGACGAGCTCGCCGACGCAGCCAGCTCCTACGGCCGAGGGGTCCAGCACGCAGCCCCCCTGCCCCTCCCGCCGCACCGCCAGTCGTCCGGACGTCGAACCCCCAGTCTCGTCGGTCGGGTGACGATGTGGGCGAGTCCTCGTCGTCTAGGACGGCCCTGCGGCGCTCGGCACGGGATGGGTTGGACACGAGCGATGCGCCGTTGGCGGGGGGCGCAGGGGGCAGTGCTGGTGCGGGTGGGGAGTTGCCGAGTGCCGGGAGTGGGTGTGATGGGAATGTGGGTGCTGGGGGAGGAGGAGGCGGCTGTGGCAAGCCTGTGAGGCGGCCCCTGGGGCCTCCTCCGCCCCCTCCACCACCACCGCCACCGCCCGACGGCGTGCGATCGGCTGTGGTGGTGTCCATCCCAAACGCGAGCAGCAACTTCGGGCAAACTATCTCGAAACGACGACCTGACAAACAACAGAGGACAACACTTGAGTGGATCTAAGGATCTGTTGGCAGCCCTCGCCGGCCCTCGTGCTCACCTTGTGTTTGGAATCTGGTGCACAGGTTGTTGAGGAAGTTGATGCCATCCCGGTGGTCGGGCATGCGCGTATTGACGCTCTGCACCCGCAGCGTCTGCAGGGGCGCCTGGCGGGTCGCCATGGTCTCCACGGCCTCGTGGCTCAGCCGATTGGGGCTGGGCACGTCGATGGTCGTGAGGTCATCCAGCGACGCCGCCGCCTCGAGCAGCGCGTGCAGAAGGTGCGAGTCCCGCAGATGCTGCACCAGCTCGCGCAGCTTCTTGGTGTGGCGCACCCAGGCCGTCCACCGCTCCAGGCGCTCGTTGCGTGGCGAGTCGCCCATGATGATCAGCACCTCCAGTGCCGTCAGCTGCCACCGACGGTCGAGGGCCAGCGGCACGCACTGCGAGCAGCCCTCACCCGAGTCACCGATCTGCACGCAACGGAGGCTGCTGAACACCACCGGCTGCTTCTCTTCCGTCGCGGTGGCGGTCCCAGACGCAGAAGCAGACGCAGAAGCAGAAGGAGCAGCAGCCGCGGCTGCACCGCCGCCCGCTGCCTGCCGCCCAACCGCACCCCCGCCCCCTCCCACCGTTGCCGCAGCTGCTGCTGCTGGTGTCGCAGCCGGCCCATCGCTGGCGCGCCCATCGCGATCGCGATCGCGCAGACGAGGGATGAAGGGCCCTCCCATGCGGACCCGCTCGCCCCCATGACGGTCCATCCACACTGCTCTGCTCGTGAGCGGCGCTGGACCCGCGGAGGCGGGACCCGCCGACACCGTCACCGCCACGCCTACGGCGCCGCTCGTGGTGGCACTCGTGGTCGCATTGACCGCACCCGCACTGCTCGACGTGTTGTTGGCCACCGCACTGGATGCACCCGACGCACCCGATGGTGTTGATGTGTTGATTATCCCCGCCGCGGCCGCGGACATAGGTGCGAAGGGGCTGATGGGGCCTGGTCCGCTTTGGGGAGGGGGTGGAGGGGGGGAGGCGGTCGGCCCACTGGTCGCAGGGGCCGACGCGGCACCCGCACTGCTCACCGCTGCTGCAGCCGCCGCTCCCGACGTCTGTGCACCGGTGGTCGACGATGTCACGACGGTGGTCTGTGTGGCCCCGCCTGTCTGTGTCTGTGTCTGAGCTGCGGCGGCAGCAGCCCCGCCGGCCGCAGCGGCCTGGCCTCTGCCGCCCGGTCCGGTGATGGTGAGTGTGGCCCCGCCCACCGGGCCATGGCGCATGGCTCGGCCCATGCCGGGCATGTGGTGGAATGGGTGCGGCGGGCCGACGCCAGGGCCTGCGTCGTACATGCCGCGGCGGCCGAACCAGTCGAGTGGCCCGTCGTAGTCGTGTGGGGGGTGGGGTGGGGGTCGCGTGTCACTCTCCCTCCATGGTCCGATGAATGTGAGGTTCTCGAGTGTGGTGGTGGGGATCTCGATGATGGTGCCGAGGTGGTTGCTGGACAGCGCCTCGCCCTCCCGCCGCACCTGGATCTCCACCGTCTGAGTCAGCCGGGGACGGAGCGAGTCGATGATGGTCTCGTTGAGCTTGGTCCACGCCGTCTCCTTGCCGATCGACAGCAGACGGTAGGCCCGCGTCTCGTTGGTCAGCTCGCGGAAGAGCTGGTTGACGCGCCCGCACTTGATGACGTCAATCGAGTGGGCGAACTCGAACGAGTAGAAGATGAGCTCGCGCGGCAAAAAGTCGGCCGACATGGCGTCCTGGTTGGTATTGGTGTTGGTAGCGGGTGCAGCTGCCGCCGCAGCAGCAGCAGGGGCAGGGGCAGGGGCAGGGGCAGGGGCTGGGTCGTCATTCGAATCGTCGAACATGGTGGGACAAAACCTAAGCGATCTGAGAGAACAACACAGAAGCGAATGGAGGGATGCATTTCGACAAGAGGCGGTGCATGTTGGCTTGAGCGGGGAGGTTCGCATACCTGATGACTGATCGGAGAATGCGATGCGCTACGGGATCTCTGGCAGGGAGACTCGTGTCCGACAGATCTGCACACAATAGACACCAACACACCCAAAATGAACAGAGGGCATGCGCACACCACACGAGCAGCCGATCGGCCACTCACCGCTGTCTGAAGCCGCTTGTTGCCAGCTCCTTGTGAGGTTCTCGGGTTCTCAACAAAGATCTCTATACTGCCTGCAACCTCACACACGCACAGAGACCCAAACAGCCAATACAGCATCCATCCATCAAGGCACCTCTTCAACAACCACCACACCACATCCACACGGCCGTGCAGCACCCACACGACAACCTCAACCACGCAATGCATGCATCCCTCCCTTCGTGCATCTGCTCACCGATCACGCAGCGAAGAGGGCCTCTCCCGCCGTCTGACACCGGCCAAAGGGAGGCGTTGCCGTCCTCCCAGCGATGCGCCGAAGGTCGCGAGTGCCGGGCAGCCACCAACCGTCAACGCGCAACGTCTCTCACGAAGCGCACGAGAGAGACACGGCGTCTCGTCGCCACCGTCCAATGCACGTCCTCCAAGCGCTGCCTCACAGACCCCCGGACAGCGAGGGCCTCGTCAGCGGGGCTTCTCAGGATTCGACAAAACAGATGCACGTCTGAAGCTCATGGGGAGGCTAGGCAGCCACTTCCCATGCCGACAGGCTAAAGGGCGGTCTTCAACGCCCTGAATTCAACTCCAGCTGGAGAAATCCTCACTGCGAGCTTGGCATTTGAGCTCGCACAGTGAGGAAGAGGAAGATCTCGCACGCGGGAGATGCTTTGGAACGAGGTGAGCCACACTGGCATCTGTACAGACGCGTGAATCAAGTTTTTCTTTCATCCCATTTTTTTGTGTGAAGCAATGCTGAAGGACGTTGTGGACTATCTGCAAAGCGCACTCACGTCAAGGACAAAGGAGGCCGCCATTCCACCGAAAGACGAAGATGAGGCGCAGCAACGGGTGGCCCAGCTTGCTGCTGAACTGGAGCCGCTGGTGCTCTCCGATTCCTTCCTGCGCAAGTGTCTGATGTGCCGCGACTGGCACCAGCAAGAAGCCGCCACTGTGGCCCGGAACTTCTCACGCTTTCGCGACTCAGCTGGGTGGCCGTATCGCATCGAGTGCACTGAGGACGTCAAGGCGGCTCTACTCAGCGGGCTGCACTGGATCCTACCGACAAGGTACATGACCGACAAGGTACATGCGGAGGGGAGGAGCACCACTGCAATCCATTGCAGACACATGCCGTCGGTCTATCTGGTCTGGTCTCCTTTGGTATGCGTCAGGGACATTGATGGCCGGCCGATGCTCGTGTATAACGGGAAGGTACTGGACAGCATCAACGCTCGCATCACTCCCCAGCAGCGCATCTCCATCGAAAGCCTTCAGAAGATGGGTAAGTGGACGCATGAGCAGCCGGGCAATGCATTATTGCAATGGCTGTGTGTGTGTTTCCTCGCCTGTCTGCATTGCGTTGCTGTGCGTTTTCTTCAGGTTGCTTTCTGATGGAGCTGCTTACGGATGATCCGGCCTGCCATCAGCACGGCGTCGCTCTCGTGTTCGACGTGGGCGGCATCACATTGGGGCTGCTGCGCCACTTCACTCTGGCGGACATCAAGAGAGGCGTCATGATGTGGAAGGAGAGCTTCCCCTGCAAGCTGCGGCGTGTGTATGTGTTGCGGGCTTCCCCCGTCATCAGCAGCATCGTCCACTTCGTGCTTGGGCTGCTCGCAAAGAAGATCAGGGACCGGGTGCACTTTGTCAAAACTGATTCTCCAGACGACAACCAATCCGACGAGCCTTTCTGGCTGTTTGTGAGGAAAGACAGCGTGCCACCCTCACTCGGAGGGACCCTTCGTTTCGATTGGCCGGCGGAGGTGGAGAGGATCATTGCATCAGCTGCATCATGAATGGCTACAGAGGCGGTGTGGTGTGATGGTGATACTGGGTCGTGAGTTGAGTCAGGATGGGGGTGTGATGGGCGGGGCAAGAGGGTGTGCCATGTCGTGTGGAGGCTTGTGCCTTTCATGCACAATCAGCAAGTCCTCAGACATGCACAAACTGTGTGCACTGGAAGCGGCGATTTGTGGTTGGTTGGTCGATCACACCGTAGGAATGCAGCACACACACACTCGCCAGTGGAACGGCCATATTCGTACTGGCGAGTGTGTGTTCTGAAGTCTTATGGTGTGATCGGCCGGTCTGTGTGGGTTGCCTGATGTGGTTCTTCAGGCCATATTGAGACAGGTGTATGTGGTCGTGGGGTGCGGATAAGTGAGTGTGTCTGGCTGGCGTGTGTGTGGAAGTGTGTCTGTGTGTCTGTGTGTGTGCACCTAAGGCAGAGCGTGTCCGCTTTAGGTCCGCACTCATCACACATGTCGTCATTTACGCTGTTTGTCATCACGCACACCAACAACATGCTTTGGGGCGAGGCACCTTTCTGCGTGCTGTATAGACTCGTGTGACCATTGGACGTTCATGCGTTATCAACCGTCATTTTCGTCATTTGTCTCTCACTGACACTGCCCGTCTGTCTGCCAGCCGTCATGTGTCGGGTGTCAGAATCATGGTGGCGGCACGCCCTTTGCATCGCCGCGATGCCGATACACGTCGCCGCGCTCGACGAGAGTAGGTGTGAACTGCTCATTGATCACCTGAAACCAACACACGCGAAGCGCATTCATTCGCGCATCTCACACACACACACACACACACACACACAGTCGGTTTGCAATCATCCTCATCTCTTTGACGCGTCCAAGCAGCTTGACGAGGCGGCGCGCCTCGTGCGGCGTCAGCTGCGGCGTCTTGTCGCTCAGGTAGGCGAAGTGCTGTTTGTTGGGGTGCATGGTCTTATACGCTCGGTTGTAGTGGGTCAGAAATGGCGGCTGGTAGCGAACCGTCTGACGAGACCTGACAAATGAATAATGGGGAAGAAGCCATCAATTCGGCTGGCTGTTCCTGTCAACTCCCTGCTGCTGTGATGTCTTTCTCTGTCACTTGATGTAGTCAGTGAACGGGGTGCCGATCTGTGCTTTGCCCGTGATGTACTGGGCCGCAATGGGCAGCTTGTCGTCGAGGGTCTCCTTGATGCCTCTCAGAGACGTGCGCAGCAAGTTGCCTGAGCCGAACTCGCCACCTGAACGATGACAAAAGAAAGTGATGCAAATGCTGCCGTTTCTCTGTCTCTCTTTCACTTCGCTCAGGGTCCATGAGAGTGCTGAGGTAAGGCGCCTCAAGCTCCTGTGCGCGGAGGAAGACACACACACACACACCCCTCTCATCGTGGGTCCTCTTCATCCCCACCCACCCACCGCACCTGTCTCAGATTCCACATGACTTTGGCAATGCCTCTGTCGATGTGGCGGTGTTGGCTGTCCTCCTCATCCATGGCAGAGATGCGCTGAAGGGCCTTCTCGGTGAAGGGCTCGTTGAACCAAGTCGGGATGGGCTGGTTGATCTCGGCCTTCTTCAGAATGATGACCGGCTGCGGCGCCTGCGTCTTTCTGGCGTACTCTTGATCGTCGTAGCTGGGATCTACACAAGATGACCACACAAGATGTTGGTGCTGTGTGTCGTGACGTGTCATTGTGTCGGTGCAGGGAGCGCCTCACCAGTGCGGGTGAGGAACAGACGAAGCAACTGGCAGACCAGCACAACACAAAGCAACAGATGAATGATTCAAGTGACGGTCTGTGTGAGATTGTGTGTGGGGGTCATGATTCACCGTGCCAACGACAGGAAGCAGCCGCTCCTTCGCCATCAGGCGGGCCTGGATCTGCGCCTCCGCTTTGACCGAAGCGTGGGAGCCGGATGCAGCCAACAGACCACTGCAGAGGATGATGCAACTCAAAGCCAGCGTCAAAATGAAGACCTTCATCGTGAGATTAGGCAGATTTGAATGAATGAACTCCGCGTTGCTTGGTGGTTTACACAGCTGAGTTGTGTTTCACTCAGCCCTAAGAGCCTGGGCGTTGTTGGTAGACTTGTTGGCGATATGTATTCGTACGGCGTTTCGGCCTACCCCACGGCGGGCGGGTATCCTGCCATGTACATGGGTGAGAAGCCGCACGCAACACAACATGCCTACAATACGAGAGCATGCATCCCTGTGCATTTCATCACCTCTGTGGCGCTCTTTCAGGTTCGGTACCGACTACCGTGCCGGCCACCGTGGCGACTGCCGTGCCCATGGCCACTCCGACCACCACTGCGACCGCCGCCGCTGCTCCAGCTTCGACCACTGTGCAGGCTGGTCCGAACGCGCCCGACGCCACTGGAGGCACCTACCCCACCTACCCCACAGGTGGCAATAGCGGTAGCGCCACCTATACCACCACTGGAGGATATACCGTAGCAGGGTACGGCACGGCGGGCGGGGCAGCCATGCCTGCTCCATACGTGCAGATGCCCATGGTTATGCCGATGGTTGGGAGCACTGGAAGCCCTCTGGTACGCGAATGCACACCCTACAAAGGCAGGAGATCAGATCGTCTTTTTGTCGACACATGCGCGGACCTGACCTTGTTGATCTTGTGGTCTCTGGATATCTTTGCTGGTGTAGGGGCTCAGCGGCTACTCGACTGGCAGCGGTGGCTATATGGTTCCAGTTCCGATGTATCCCGGTAAGCGCACACCGACGTGCAGACATCGATACATCTGACCTGACTATCTGTTGCCCTTGTGCGTGTGTCGTGTGTCTTCAGGTGGCATGCCAGGTGCCCTGCCGGTCATGACGTACGGGCGTGTGCGTGGCGAGGGCACCCAGGGCGTGGCGGCGGCCGCCGTGCCTCATCAGGCCCAGGGCGGCACGTCGTTCCTGACGGTGATCCGCGTCACACCCAAGGAGTTCCGATGCCCCGAGACGCTCATGGCCCTCGGGTCGCTCAAGGACAAGATCTGGCCGGCGGGTGTGATCCCGGACAACACCGTCTGGGAGGTGTACAAGGGGCACGTGATCCCGACGGTGGTGCTGATGGTGAACCTGGGCAGCGAAGAGGCGCAGAGTCTCTTGCTCGCACACGAGGCCTTCGCCAAATTCTGCAGCGAGGAGTTTGTGGACAAGGTGGAGGTCATCAAGTACAGAGGCGCATAGATGCCGATAGAAGGGCTGATAGAAGGGGACGGGAGTGGGCATACTTCCTTGCTTGTTGATACGTGAAGCTAGGTAGCGTTTGGATGAGCCTGCGGTGGGCGGGGTCGGACGCATTGGATGGATGGATGGATGGATGGGTTTGTTTGTCTGGCTGTCGAGTAGTGAGAGTCTGCTCGTCTTGCTTGTTGCCGCCGTCGGCTGTTCATTTCTTTACCGTTGCGTCGGCCTGCTCAGTGCAGCACAAACAAGGAAGGGTCTTCTTCCTTGTGCTGCATTGGCTCGGCGACGCAACGGTAAAGAAATGAAGGGCCAGATGCACTCACAAGCACCGTGATGGAAAAATCATGTTGGCGGCTTTACCCTGGCTGTTTGGACGGTGTGTTGATACGTGCGTGTGGCTGTGGCTGTGGCTGCGCGGCGGTGCTGTGTTGTTTCTGGATGGATGGATGGATGGACTGACTGCACGGGTGGACCTGCCTTCTTTTTCCCCTGTTCCGTTTGTGTCTGTCCGCATAGTGTGCAGCTGGTGTGCATGGATGGATGGAATGGATGGCTGCGTGGAGGGTGCACATGGATAGACTAATTGGAACCCCGCCAGAGGATCTCGACCTTCGCAAAGATCCATATGTCTGCAGCGGTTTGCATTATGATGGCGTCTCACACCCCCACTTGCCCCCACCGAAGGAGTGAGATTGTGAGGAATCAGGACAACATACAACATCGGGTCGGCGCTTCGAGGGGAGGCAATTGACGGGAGGCGTACATCCTTCACTCGACCCCTCCCCGCTCCGTCCGTCTCACTCATGCGGGTGTTTTGAGAAGCAGACTGCAGGAGGAGGATGCAGGAGGACTTCAGGTCGCCGCCCAGGCGGGGGCACTCCTATGATCAGAGGCCAGGCGTCACCTTCCGCTCTCGCACAACCACGACCATCCGTGATACCTGGTTCGGGCTGCCGTCGGTGTTACCTGGAGGGGAGGGCAGCGGCGAGCACAAGCGGCACAGCGCATTCGTGCTGGCGTGGGAGGACGAGATTGAGGAGGAGATCCGATGGATTCAGGAATTCGCTCGCTCCGTCCCGCCATTCCCCACAGCACTCGACTACAACTCTCTGCATATGCTATCTACGAGGCTGCAGGAGATCATGACCCTTCTCTCGGAGAGGAACGTGTTCGAGAGTCCCGTGTTCCACGACACAGGCGTGCCTGCACCCCCACGGCGAGGCACGATGGCCCTGACCGGCACGAGCGAGAACGCCATTGGGACGCTGCTTCGGCGGTGTGTGGAGACGCCGCCGCCATCTGCCTTTCGTCTCAACCTGCCGCCATCGATCGCCTTCATCGGTTATGTCCGCTTCACAGAGGCGCTGCGGATGATTGGGGAGCGGGTGATTGACCAGTTGGAGGAGGTGTATTTGAAAGATGAGGAAGACGACGGCCTGGGCAACCACACCAACGACGGCGTGGACGCGACAAACCAGACACGGCAGGAAGAGGAACCAGCAGCAGAGGACGAGGAGGGCTTCGTTAACTTTGGCGTGAAGCAGGGGCTGATGGGCATGGAGAAACTGCTGTGTCTACTGCTGCATTGTATTATGACCATATTGGGCGACTTGGCCTCGCAGCAGCTGGACACGAGCCCCATGGATTTCGACGAGCTGTGCATACACTTTTTTGTGCCATCCGACGTCGACCAGACGGCAGGGCGGCATGGTGCGCTGCTGTCTCGCATTGCTCAGGTAGAGGGCCGCACCATCGGCACGGACGAGTATGGCAGGTCTGTGAGCGGTCTCGCGTCGCAGCCATTCCTTGCCGCTTTTCTAAACTGCGTCAAGGCCCTCTGTGAGCACCATCAAAAGATCTCACAAAGGTCGAAAATGGAGACGCCAATGAGACACCGAACTGGATGGTGTATCAAGTCTCTGCATCTGTGTCTATTCTTTGCAGGGCATTGAATCCTCTGGGCATCATGGACCGGCTGTGCGACACAGTGAGGACCGTGTTGATCAACGCTGAGCAGTACATAGCCAACAATAAGATAGAGATCATCCACAGGTGCCTCCGCACCGTCACCGAGACTCTGCAGGGCCCTTGCTACGCAAATCAGGTAGTCCACTCGTCGTCGGACAAGCGCCAAGGGAGCTGTCATATACGGGTGTGCGTGCCACGGTGTTTGCGCGTTTGTGTGCTCAGGTGAAGACGCTTGTGTACGGTCTCCATTTGGAGGCGTTCCGTCTGCTGGAGCAGCTGCCCGAGTCTGTGTTGGAGGAGGAGAGAGAGATAGACGGCAACGAGGAGTCGCTGGAAGAGTCTATTCTGACATTCCTTGTGTCATTGCTCGAGCTTTATGAAAAGGTCCGTACACGTGCCTGAAGCGCCATGTATGGGAAAAGAGGAGGGAGGATGGGTGTCGGTTGTGTTAGGGTCGCCCAGAGGAGGAAGACTGCATTCTGCAGTTCATCCTCCACTTCAAGAAACAGGTGCTTCTCAGACGCATAGAACACTACTACAAAATACTCGAACGGGTGAGCCGACCAGTCATTTTCGTCGACTACAAGATAATTCCGTGGCGTCTGCCTGTGACGACCCATACAGGAGATGGCGGACAATGTCAAGGCGTTGGACGCGGAGGCGTCGAGTCAGGTGCTGGCCTTGCTCTACCAGCTGGCGGATTCAATGGACATCTTCCATCCGAGTAGGTACACACACATACATAACAGATGCAGCACATGGATGCACCGATGTGTCTGTCTCCCTGTCCGTCCCATTAATGCTTCAGCCGGCCATCCGTCGCTGCGTGGTATGGAGCGCTGGTCTATGTTTTGGGTCCGCAACACCTCCCTCAACGAGAGGTGGGCATCCCTACGGATGCGGGCCGTTCTCAAGGTCGCACGAGTCGAAATCGATCGCAATGGTGTCCTTGGTGAGCGAGAAAAGACTCAGAGACACAGCGCACATAAGCAACTCACCAAGTGGCTTCCTGCAGAGGTGTTGTATTTCCCTGTGCCTCCCGAGCTCATCTACTTCTTCTCGCTCGACCCCAATCTCTGCCGCCAGATCTTATTCCAGAAGCTGGAGCTGGGCAGCCAGCGGCGGCACCTGACGCTCATTATGGGCGTGGGCATGACCATCCTTGCCTGCAGCCGATGGGTGGCCAAGCGGCAGGCATGGCTGGACAAGTGGCGCATCGGCTGGATGGGCAGCTGGTTCAGCACGACCAGCAGCTACGCCATCTCGTGTGTCCTATTCGGACTCTCACTCGTGAGTGCCGACCACCATAATACGTACAGATGCCCACATTCCTGTTGTGATGATGCACGTAGGTAGCGAATAGCATCATGGCTGTGTTCCTTATGCTTGGCAACAACAACAAGAACCACCCGCCCCTGGGCATCGAGAGATTCAACGAAGATGACTGCTACTACTGCATGTCAGAGGAGGAGCTGCAAGCACCGCTGTCTTTTACCTGGGAGTTCCATTGGGCACACCCGTGGGGCGACTACATCTTCACATCGGCCGGCTGGATTCACCTGGGGGTCGCACTTATTATGCTCGCCATTGAGACATCAAACTACCTGCCCATGAACGTCATGAACAGGTGTGTGAATGGGGGAAGCGCGGGGACAGCGCCACGAATATCCTTGTGTGATGTGTGTGTCAGTTTGTCAACAGAGGCGATTCCATTGGGTTCAGACGAGATCATTCAGAAGAGGGCGTCGCGTAATGTGACCGAGGTGTCGCCGAAGGCAAGGCTCATCGTGGCTGAGGGCTCACCGAAGACCAGGGGCAAGGACTTCCACAAGAGCAGGTCCACCCTCGGATATGCGCGAAGCATGTCCACCCTGACACATCAGAGCGCTGCCAAGAGGAGCTTCACGGGCCCATTGCCTGACGGCGGACCGTCTTTTCAGTGAGTGAATGAATGACCAATAGCGCCACTATGTACACGTGTGTGTGTGTAGCTATTGGCTGCATCGGTGGGTGAGGCATTTCGACAGCATCACGGAGGGCAGGGACAAGCTGGCATTCACCGTTTTCTTTCTAAGTTCGTGCACCCATTCATCAAGGCATCACTCCCATCAACGCTGTGGTGTGTGTGTGATGTGTGTGCTTGTCAGGTTCTCTGTTCTACAATTGGAACAGCTGGTATCGGCTATGCTATGCCATCTTCTGTCTGTTCGGGCTCATCCTCCACCCCATATTCGTGTCCATAACGCTCGTGGAATTTATCATCGTGTCCGGTGGGCGCCTGAGTGGCTGAGCGCCTCACCTTCATCGATGTCTCGTGTCTGTGTGCGTGTGCAGGTCTTGATGGGACTCTCAAGAAGATCAAGGGCAAGCTTGGCGTCATTGCCCGCCTCTTCGCCCTGTCGGTCGTGTTGGCCTTTGTCTTCTCGGCTGCCGGCTACGTACTCTTTAACCGCGCCATGTCCATCTGGCCCGGCTCATGGCAGGTAGGGCTGTCTCAACACACCACACCAACATGCACCCACATGTGTGCGGATGATGTGTTGATGCAGGGCACGTACTACGGGAATTCTCTGCTGAATGTCTTCCTGTATACCGCCAACATGGGGTTCAGAGCCAATGGCGGCATCGCAGATGTGATTCGCCCCATTTGGTACGACGCCGGGCGGCAGTCGCTGTTTGACCGCAATGAGGACGAGCTGCAAAACATCGAAAGAGACGCACTCTTCTACTTCCGGTCAGTCAGTCACTCACCTAATACGGCTACAGAGCGAGAGACGGCCATACGTGTGGCCGTCTGCGTGTGTCTCGATGTAAATGGACCCAAACAACCCCCCCCGGTGGTTTTTTGACTTTGCGTTTTTTCTGGTGATCAACATGTACATGTTGAATCTGATACTGGCTCTTCTGGTTGACGGGCTGGGCAAGGCACGAGACGAGCATCGCATCTTTATGGAGACACTGGAGAATGAGTGCCTCGTGTGCGGACTCACCAGGCCAATCATCAACAGGTCGGCCAACTCGAAGCAAGAAGAAGCCCTCAACGAAGGTTTGCCGTGCTGTCTGTGTGTGTGCAGATATGGCCCTGGATTTATTGTGCATCTGAACAAGGAACATGATCTGTGGGAATACATTGGCTTGCTCTTCCATCTCGCACAAAAGGAGCCACTTGAGTTCACCGGATCCGAGCAGTATGTGATAGAGCAGCTGGAGCACCACCTGTACTCATTCTTCCCCCTAAGCAAGACCCTCTCTGTGCAGGGAGCCGACCCCAAGACCCAGCTGCAAGAAGTCAGTCACTTCATCCACTTTTTCGGCGAATGCACACTGACCCTGTGTGTGTGCGCGCGTGATGGTCTGTATGTGTGTGTAGGTTGCTGTAGATTTGATGAATGCGATTCACAGCACCCAGGGTCTGCTGTCTGAATTGGGCAGTAGGCGTCGGGTGGCCAAGGGAGGCAGCGGCGGCAGCTTCGGGTCTGACGACCACGACGATGATGACCACGACCACCACATGGACGACACAGAGCCCAAAGTGAGTGAGCTGGAGCGTGCCACGATGCATCTCTGCTGCTTGCTGATGCATTTCTCATGTCTCTCAGCGTCACCATCGGCGCACTCGCGTCTTCATGGACGATGACGGCGACAGCATCTTCATGCGATCAAAGTATATGGGCGACACGCAGAGACATCCATTGCGAGGACGTCCCCATACGTTGTCTTGCTTGCTCTCTGTCTGATTTTCAGGAGCCGCAGCAGCTCGGCGGGCTTGCCGCCCGGGGTCGCAAAGGGCATCGCGCCGAGGCGGTCCTCGGCATCACAAGGGCGGGCATCAGCCGCTGTTGTCAAACCCAGCATTCGCAAGGTTGACTCATCAGAGGTACGGAAGACACGCACAATCAATACATTTGCACGGGGCAGCACGTCCAACCATGTATGTCTCATCTCTGTCGCATGCACGCAGGAGCTCGTGGCTAATCTGCTCTGCCGTGTGGAGCAGCGGGCGCACCACATCCATTCGGTGGGCCCGAGAGAGAGAGATAGAGAGAGAGAGAGAGAGACTGCCTTCGGAGGGTCGGACAATATGTGTGTGTGTGTGTGTGTGTGTGAGCAGTGAGCCCCCACGGCTCCAAGAGGTCCAACAGTCGCGCCGGCAGCATCACATCGATCGGGACCAGAGATGAGGTCCCGTCCACATTAAACAACGCACAGACAACCCAAGAATGAAGGCACCTGTCGTCTGCCTCCCTGCCTGCCTGCAGTCGTTGACTAGGAGACAGCGCACCTACGCGAGCGTGACGAGCGAGATAAGGACGAAGGTGACAATGCCCCTGACGCGAATGGTGTCTTCCTGCCGGCACGGCCCAGCGATCCTCCAGACCTGCCCGACGCTGCGGGTGGGCGGAAACCGGGGACGGTGGCCATGAGGGGATTCAGATTCAACTTAGCTGAGGTGGGATGGGACACGACACAACAACCCATCCCAGTGTATGTCTTGGTTTGATTCAGGATGGCGGCGTCGATGATGCCAGCCCCGAGGCACGCCCACTCCTCCTCCCCGGCTCCATTGGGGAAGACAGCGGGTCGCCAGCGTCCGTTGGCGCTACAACATTGGGCACTCTCTCATCAGAGCCTAAAGCCGTCCCATCACCACTTGAGAAGACCGTCTTGCCACCCACGAGCAGCCAGCATCAGCCCGCCAACGCCCCTCCGCCAACCCAGCAAGGTGGCTGCCGTCATAGGCCGTCAGCCCCTGAGAATCTGCCCCCTCCAGTGGGGCCACCACGGGCGCCACTGTCTCTGTCCGAACCGCCAGCCTCTCTCCTGCGAGATGCAGAGGGCGAGTCGTCTGGTGAGGGCAGTGCCAGCTCCCGTGGGAGTGCGGGTAAGGCCGACAGGAGGCGACAGGTGTCCATATCGGCGACTGCGGCGCATTGTGACTCCGAGGGGCTGTTAAGCCCGACCGGACAGTAAGGAACAAAGGGATGGAGGGACGGGTTGTGGCCCACTCTATCTCTTGTGTCTCTGTCATGTGTCAGAGATGTGACCCCTTCTCGGAGGGGTGGCAGGGTGAGCACGCGTGCCTACACACGCAAACTCATCACAGCCACCATCCTCCTGTGCTGATTCTATTGGTCCAGGCGCTGATAGCCCTTCCAGAGGGATTTGACGCCACCAGCCACTGGAGAGCTGAAAGACGTAATTACGCCAACCAACCAACGAAGCATGCAGCAACTCAACGATTGGTTGTGTCCATGTATGAATGCAGTTCGCGCCGAGGCCCGTCGTCGATCGACCAACACGTCAAGAAGCCCTGCGGTCACCCCAATGAGCCCCACGTCGCGGGGGACGGCGACCGGGGCGACGACCAAATCGCCACGAGGGTCTCGACAGGGCTCCAGCATGATGTCCAGGCAAATCAATGCACCTCGGTTCCCATTCCTGTTCAGGTGGGATGGAGACACATGTAGAAATAATGAATACGTGTGTTGGATGGCTGGTTGGTCAAGGTCCCATCAGTCGCTCCAAACGATCCCTCCCCCACTTCCCGCAGGACCAGCCAAACACCAGGGAAAAGCCGGCAGGTTGTGATGTCACCTGACCAAGGGGCACGGAGGTCATCGAGTGTTTTCCAGGCACTGGTGCGGGTGACGGGCGCCGGGCAGGAGAGGCAGCATAGCGACAGAAGCCCCAAGGTCACCAATGACAACCCGCAGGCTGACCATCCCCTCAACAAGTTCCTTGCTACTTAGCTAGTGCATCGTGGGCGGCCTGTAGAGGTAGACAGGAGTAAGTGCCGCCGGCTGTTTGCAATCCAGTGTCTCCAACAATGCGAGACAGACACACAGACACACTGACACACAGGCAGACAGACAGACAGACAGACAGTGAGCGTAGCCAAGCAATAGATGTATGCCCAACGGGGTTGCTTTGTCTGTTGTGGGGTGTGTGCGCCTGTGTGTGTGGCTGGCGTACTGCACACGGTCCGCGTCTCTTCAGATCTTTTGAGCTTCTTCACCAAGTAGTAAGTCATAGGCGCATAGATCTTTGGTGTCTCGCGCTGCAGTATGGTGCCTCGTCTGTGTCTTACATACAACGACAGTTTGAGAGTATCTGAGAGCCTCTTGCTGGCGTGAGTTTTCGCACGCGATCGAAACTGCCCCGAAACGGCTGCCCCACCAAAGCCCCCAGTCTTTCTTCCGATCTCTTCTCGCGGTCCCCACCACAAGATGGCACTGCACTGGGTCTCGTCCTCGTTTGGCTGCGGCGTTCACCTGCCGCAGCACGTACTCCGGTTATCGTAAGGGCTGCGTCATGGCGAACCCATTCAGCAGCTCTCCCCAGCAGACGCCCACTGCCCCGCCACCAGACGGCATTGACCTGGAGGCCGCAGCCAAACCGGCAGAGACGACGAGTACTGCGTTGGCTGCCATGATGCCCAAGCAGTTGTTTCTGATGCGGTTCGAGGACAAGGAGCTCGAGAAGGCTTTCTGGAGGGAGCAGAGGGCGCGGTTGGACCCCTCGACGCGGGCCTTCCGCATCGGCGTGGCCGCACTGTTTGTGCAGATGGGCTTGTTCATTATGCGGTCATGGATGCTATACGGCAACAAAGAGGAGGACACCGACAATCTGGGAGACACCCTGTTCGGCATTCAGATCGGCGTTCAGGCTTTCCTTGTCATTCTGGGCGGCATCTATCCCATTCTTCCGCCAAAGGCGCTCGAGCGGGTGCCGATGCTGCCGTACTTCTGCGCTCTTCTCATCGTGTGGCCCATATCTTGCGACAGGCTGGTGGCGCTGATGCTCGGCCTAAAGCACGATGACTTCTGCAGAGAGACTGTGACGTGTCTCGCGACTGCGCCCGTGGAAAGGACAGTGGAGGTCGATTGCAATTTTGACGGCGTGCCGCTCATCCCCCACTCGAGCACGCTGCTGCCTTTCTTTCTTATCTATATCGGCATCCTGGCGTCCTTCTATGGCGTAGCCTTCTATGTGCCTCTCCTGGCCAGCCTGCCGGGGTTCCTCTTTGTCGCCCTCTTGGAGGGCTCCACAGGGCCCACGCAGCTGAGTGACTGGAACTTCTGGCTGGTGAGACACGAGTATACATCTACACACAGGCAGGCAGGCAGGCAGGAGACTCTGTGAGGAGAATTAGGTGTTGTTGCGCAGGAGTGGGCGATTCTGGTGGTCTTCGTTTTCCTTCTGCTGGCCTGTGTGCTGTACATCAATGAGAAGCACCACCGCACCATCTTTGCGCTGCAAAGACAGCTGCAGAAGACCCCACCCCCTCCACCGGCCGCCGGCGGCGCCCCGCCAGCTTTCGCGCCCTATTATGGTGCCAGCGGCTTTGCATCGCCAGAGATGCCAACAATAACTGTTCAGGGCGAATCGCGAGAGGCCGACAGGCCGATCGGGGTGACGATTCCTCCGCTCATGTCTCTCTCCCAGGGGTTCTTGGACGCCGAAGCCGTCCAGCCGGCCGTCGCTGCCTCTGTATCTCGGCCGGCATCAGCTCACCCCCTCCCTCCCCGGCCCCCCAAACCTCCCCTCCCTGCGCCGAGCATTGTGGTGCCGCCCAAGCAGGAGCCGCTGCCAGGAGTGCCGGAGGACGTCCTGTTCGCACTGGAGAGGGATAACTTCACCGCGCAGCACGCATACGCCCTCGTGCATCCGTCGGTCGACGCGGAAGTGACGCGGAGGTTTGTGGAGATTTTGCTGATGATGATGAGTGTGTCGGGCCATCCGGCGGCTGGGGAGGGGGAGAGGGCCTTGAGGGAAAGAATAAGTCTGGATTTGAGGAAGCTGATGAAGGAGGCGCTCAAGACCAAGACGTTCTCCTTCCACCCGAGCACAAGACAGGGCGTCACATCTATAGAAGTCAAAACTGGTGCGCGGTGCGCCCACCCATGTGGTTGTCTGACTGTCGGCGGGCCGGCCATTGACATTGTCCGCCCCTTCTCTCTGTGTCTTACTGCAGGCAGGATATGGATCGAGCTGAAGTCCCAGAGGATCGACACTGCAGGCTCCATCATGATGGAACTCGGCAATTGGACCAGCAGGTGGAGCCCTCACATATGGGCTGGGCACCTGTGGATGCGGTGCGAATGTGTCCTTCCTTGTTTATGTTGCCCTCCTCTCTGTCTGTCTGCAGCCTGTTGTTCACGCAGCTGATGCAGGACGCCGCCCGCGAGAAGCGCAAGACGGCCGGCAGTCCCACCAGCTCAGTCACCGACGTGGGCGATGCAGTGGGGCGCTTCGGCGTCTGGCTCGGCGGCCTCTTCTCACACCACAATATCGACGAGGGCAAGGACGATGAGCAGCAAAACTCATCCCAGCAGCAGCCGGCCACCAACAATGGCACCTTCTCCAAGAGCACATGCCGGTCGGTGCTGTCTGCACTCACTGGCGCCTCCCTTTATGTCTCTCTCTCTCTCTGTTTCTCTGCGTCTGCTTGTTCGCTGCCCAGTGAGCTGCTGGAGTGCGCGCATCGGTTTGCTTCCGAAGTAGAGAAGGTTGAGTATGGCCACGGTGACCGTCGGAACAGGCTCCTGTCCGATCTGCACTGCCTGGCGCCATCCGTGTGGGAAGAGCCTCACGGGTACCTCGTGGGGCAGACACAGATGGACCACCTGGCCTTCATGTACTCGGTCCAGCACACCGATGTTTACATCAGAATCTGGAACCAGTATGAGCCGAAAAGTAAGACATGCGCGCGTCGAAAGATGACCATAAGTGCATGTGCGTGTCTCTGTCTCTGTCTGGGGTTGGGTGCGGTCATGTCACGTCAGCTCAAGTGGAGGTGCTGCACCAGTCGCACCCGTCATACCGAGTGTACTTCAAAAAGTGGGTCAGGGGCAAACTGGTCCAGCCGAAGGACTCATACATCTCCGTCAGGTCGGCGAAACTCAAAATGCAGGTGGGTGGGCCGGCCGGGTGAGATTGACCACACACACCAAGCACGGCTCCTCTGGAAACAATTCCTTCCTCCCTGTGTACGGTGTGCTGCACAGGACGTGCTGTATGAGATTCAGTTTGAGGGTGTGGAGGCGGGTGCAGTCACGTCCCGACCGCCCAGCGTGCCTCCGTCACCAAGACTCCCCCCAAATGGCACCTGGAATTGACTGAAACAAGAGACAGACAGCGCGGGAGTGGAGTGCGTGTGCCACTGGTCGGTCGATGTAGAGAATGGAAATGCATGCCTGTGTGTGTGTATGTCTGTATATGTGTGTGTGTACAATGTTTGTTGATGGACATGGGACAATGACACTGACGGACAGGCAGACTCAGCAGAAAGTCATCCATGGAGATGTCAATCAGTCAATGCATACGAAAGTGCAGTTTTGCGATCCGACAGAGACACATAAGCGGTGCTCACTGCCCTGCCACACACAGGCAAAGACGAAGACGGAGAGAAACACCGGCACCGACGGCCGACATTGACTGATTCAGAGAGCAAAAGGGATATGCAGCAGGTCATCTGCGCCTCCACCATCCGCACGCACACATCTGTCCGGCAGGGGGTCGATCACCGGCACCAGTGGCCTGTGTGATGGCGGGTAGGTGCCCGCACCCCAGCCCCTCTGCCGCTGCTGATGCTCCAACAAACTGGCGCCAATGTTATACCTGCAGCCACACGCACACGCAGACAAATGTAATCAATCCATGAGGATGTCTCAAGGACACACACCTATGGTATCCACATATTTCTGACCTTCTCTGTGACCTCGGCCCCTCCTGCGTCGTCACCTCCGCCTCCCTCAGATTCGCATGATACACCCACACACCTTCCCTTCCAGCAGAACACGTCATGGGCTTGGCCGAGCGGGGCCTCGACCGCTGTGAGGGAGGGGAAACCACTCCAACAGCCACAGGACTCCCTGGAGCCGGTGTTCGCACACTCAGAGGCCTTTTATTGGTCCCCATCATGGTCGGTGTCGCCGTCTTGGGCCTCTGACGCTTCGCCGGCGCTGTTTGAGGCCTTGAGAGAGGCGGCGCTTCCACTGTGGTGGGACGGAAGCCAGGAGGGGGCTTCTCAGGGGCGGCCTGTCGCGGTCTCGGTTGTGGCGGTGGCTGGTGTTGGGGTGGTGATGCAGGATGAGCAGTCTTGCGAGATGGAGGCGCTGACGGGGGACGGGCGAAGCGGAAGCCCCTCGTCTTCTGCATTGCGTGCAGAGATGGATGGACCAGAGACAGCAGTGCAGAGGTTTTGTGATGCCTGTATGGTGCATGCAGGTCACCTGCGGCGGCGGCTCGAGAGTGTCCTTCCAGCAGCAGGCCGGCACAGGACCCACAAACTCATACCTACAGTAATTAAGGCACGAGACACAAGACATCCGACACGCATTCATCCACTCACTCATTCGCCTCCTCCCCCACGTACGTCCCACTCACTCACCTCCATGCCCGCTGTTTGGGTACCCGCCTGGCCCTCCCGCCCAACCAGCTCTGCTCCCTCGACACATAACTCTCCACAAGCTCATCAAACGGCACTATCGACCGCCGACGCCCGAGCCCACCTCCTCCCGAACCCAGCCTCGAGAGGGCGGAGTCAAGGCTCTGAGAAGGCCGGCGGCCGCCTGCAGTGGATGAACGCGTGGAGAGGGCCGAGTGGCGTCGGCTGAGGGCCATCATGGACGGCTGCTTGACGTAGGAAACCACCACCTGCCATGAGACAGAGAGAGGGAGAAGAGACGGCCTCAAGATCTGTCTGTCTGTCTGTCTATCTGTCTCATGTATGTGGATGGAGATAAAAGGCGGCGGCACAGTAGGTAGTACCTACCCTCTTTGCTGGTGGTTGTTTCTTGAGTGCGATGTTGAATTCGACGTTGGCCATGGCGTTGGAGAGGTCCTCGTTGAGGCAGAAGCCACGCTCCAGGGCCTCGGGCGACGCCTGCGCAACCGGGGCCGACGCAACCGGCAAGGCAGCACCTGATTCACTCTGCATGATTCACTTTGCACCATGCATGGGGGCACGTGGGGGCGGCGTCTCGAGCCGTTTTGGCGCCAGGCGCTGTCAATGGCAGCGTATACTGTACATGTTGCACACAAGTCGTCTCACGTAGGGTTCAATCGTCTGATTGTGCGTCAACTGATCAGATCTGTCTGCGTCCACCAGTACGAACACCGCACCAAACTCTTGTCGGAAGTGGCTGCTCCCAACATGAGCTCAGGGATGCGCCGAGACTGGCGGTCGTACACAGATCCAACACTGCACGCACACGGTTTCAATGAGAAAGCAGATCGCCCCCCGACACCTCCCCCCG